CCAAGGTGTCACAGCTCACAGCAACTTCCAGCTCTTGGGCTTAGGTGATTCTCTTGCCTCAGCCTCCCAAGTAGCTGGGACTACAGGCGCCTGCCACAAAGCCTGGCTATTTTTTTGTGGCAATTTGGCTGGGGCCAGGTTGGAACCCACCACCCTTGGTATATGGGGCTGGCACCCTACTTGCTGAGCACAGGCACCGCCCAGGAAAATCTACCTTTTTAGTGATATATCTGAATTCCTGTAAGGGCTGGCAACCTGATTACACATTATCAAGGAATATATAGTAGAACCTATGCAAGTTGACCACCCAGTGGACTGTAAAAAACTGGTCAGCATATGGAAGTGGTCAACATAAGGAACTAGGCCTATTGTACTAATACGTACATGTGGTGCATGTCCAGTCTATGAAAATTAGATCAACTTAAGGAGGTGGTCAATGTAGGGTCAACTATGGAGATTCTACTAATATTCACAAAATGTGAACATGACATACCTATTTCCTTTGCTTCTGAGAATGGTTGTATTACATATTTAAATTGAGTATATTCGGTTTGTATTGTAAAGCATTTTCAGTTAGTAACTTCTTATTTCAAAATAGGTCAAAACTGCAGAGAAATGAAAATCGGGATATCAGTGAAGTCATTGCTCTTGGTGTGCCCAATCCTCGGACTTCCAATGAAGTTCAGTATGACCAAAGGCTCTTCAACCAATCCAAGGTATAGTGAGTTTAGAACAATATCTCATGTGTTTCTGTGACTACCTATCCTTAGATAAAAGAAAATTATCTGAGATTTGGATCAGCCTAAGGTTTGCCAGTATGATGACAGAAGTAAATGGAAGTTGTTTGTTGTAACTTAAGACACAAGTAAGATGAAATAGTTATGATTGTGACCTCCAAACAGTTGGCTAAAATTTGGGACACTAAGAGAAAAATCAAAGAAATTAGGTGGTAAAACTTGGTTTTATAGGTTCCATTGTAAAGTCTTTTGTTTCTAAAACGGCCCATGTCCTACAAAAGTACCTCTTGGATTATTTTTTTGGTTGAATATCAGATTTTTTTTTTAATGTTGTAGAAACATACGAAGTTAGAAATCTTTAAAAATGAAGCTGTAAAACTAAAGTACTAGACTGATTGTCAGCAAATCTGATCTCTAGTGCCATTTGTCATTAACTAACTAGGACATTTTAGGCCTGGAAGAAATACCTTTGTATTTTAATTCATTTAATACTGATCTAACTATACATAAGTCAGTAAGATCCAAAGATAGATGCATGTAGAAAAAAACGCAAGTATAGTCTAACGGGGGGCGAGGGGCACGGTGGGGGTTAGGAGGGAGGGTGATTGGCAGGATCTCACCTAATGTGCACAATGTGAGGTGCTCAGCATGCCACCTGAGTGAAGGGCTCAACTACAACTTGAACTTTACCTTTACCTAAACATTTATACTTTCATATTAATCTGAAATTTTTTTAAAAAAGTAAAAACTTTTAAACATAAAGAATAGGTGCATTTTGCCGTCAAAGAATCCACAATCTGCTGGAGAAGGCAACCAGACAAATGTGTGTGTATGTGTTTATATGTCAGACAACAAGACTATAGAAGTTCTAGTTCTCTACGTCATAGTATAATTATGACTTTGATTTTTAAGGAAGATTTGAAGGTAGTATTTGAGTAAGCCCTTTTAAGTAATAATTAAGGGCTTTTTATATTCCTGGCATAATTCTCAGTCTTTTACTTGTATTATCTCAATCTTTAAAAAAACCCTATGAAGTCATACTATTCTATTGTTTAGATAAGGAAATTGAAACAGACATTTAGCTAGTAACTGATGGAATTAAGATTCAAATTTGGAAGAAATGAAATAGTGAAAGATATTAACAAATAGAAGAACATATCATGCTTCTGGCTGGGAAGAATCATCATTGTCAAATGTCTGTATTTCACAAAGCAATCTACAGATGCAGTGCAGTCCCCATTAAAATACTATCATCAGGCTCAGCGCCTGTAGCTCAAGTGGCTAAGGTGCCAGCCACATACACCTAACGTGGTGGGTTCGAATCCAGCCTAAGCCCGCCAAAACAACAATGACGGCTGCACAAAAAATAGCCAGGCAGTGTGGCAGGTGCCTGTGGTCCCAGCTACTTGGGAGGTGGAGGCAGGAGACTCGCTTGAGCCCAGGAGTTGGAGGTTGCTGTGAGCTGTGATGTCACAGCACTCTACCCAGGGGGATAGCTTGAGGCTCTGTCTCAAAAATAAAAAAAATTAAAAAAGAATACTTCTGTGGGAATTGCAACAACAAAAATAAATATCAAACTGAAAAGCTTCTGTACAGGTAAGGAAACAACCAAAGCAAAGAGACTACCTACAGAATGGGAAAAGGTATTTGCATATTATGAATTGGACAAAAGCTTGATAACTAGAATCTACAGAGAACTCAAACTAATCAACAAAAAAAGAACTAACAATCCCATCTATCACTGGGCAAGAAACATGAATAGAACCTTCTCTAAAGACAGACGAATGGATAACAAATATGAAAAAATGCACATTGCCCCTAATCATTAGAGGAATGTAATTCAAAACTAGCAAGATATCACCTAACCCCAGTTAGAGTGGCCCACATCACAAAGTCTCAAAGCTGGAGATGCTGGTGTTGATGTGGAGAAGGGAACACTTTTACGCTGCTGATGGGACTGCAAAGTAATATAGCCTTTTTGGAAGGAAGTATGGAGAATCCTCAAAGAACTCAAATTAGACCTCCCATTTGATCCTGTAGTCCCATTACTAGACAACTACCCAGAAGAAAAAAAATCATTTTATCATAAGAACATTTGCACTAAACTGTTTATCGCAGCTCAATTTACAGTTGCCAAATTGTGGAGAAAACCTAAATGCCCACCAATCCAGGAATGTATTAACAACCTGTGGTACATGTATACCATGGAATACTATTCAGCCATTAAAAAAATAAGAGACTTTACAGCTTTTGTATTAACCAGAAAACCCCCATATACCCAAGGCAATTCTTAGTAATAAAAACAAATCCTGGGGTATCACTTCAAATTTGGAAGGAAAGAAATAGAAGATATTAACAAATGGAACAACATACCATGTTCCTGGTGGAACACATTCTTCTTAGTAAAGCATCACAAGAATGGAGAAGCAGAATCCAATGTACTCAATTCTAATATGAAGGCAGTAGATGATCCAATACAAAGTGAGGGGTAGGAGAATGAGGGAGCAGAGATAGGAGAGGCAAATAGGGGGGTCATGGTGTAGGGCACACCTCTTGAGGATGGGATACAATTATAAGAGGGACTTTATCCAAGAAATGTAATGTAATTCTTTGTACCCTCAATGAATCCCAAACAATAAAATAATAAAATGCCAGATGGAATCTAAGCCAATTATAAATTACACAGTACAAATGAAGATAGCACCACTTACTAGTAAAAGCCTAAGGAAATATACTTTTGACTTGGTTTAAACACACACAAAAATCTAAATTTTTGATTGAGTTAGTAAAACAGAGATTATGGGGACTATTTATTTCCAAATAACAAAAAGTATATTAAAAAAAGAAAGAAAAGATTCAAACTTCGATGTCTTTATTATTCCAAAGCTTTGTTCTTAACCACAATTCAATGGCAACTTACCAGCCTAAGCAAAGGGATAAAAGTTCCACATAGGCTCGGCACCTGTAGTACAGTGGTTACGGCACCAGCCACATACACTGAGGGTGGTGGATGCGAACCCAGCCCAGGCCAGCTAAACAACTGCAACAAAAAATAGCTGGGCACTGTGGCAGGCGCCTGTAATCCCAGCTACTTGGGAGGCTGAGGCAAGAGAATCACTGGAGCCCAATAGTTTGAAGTTGCTGTGAGCTGTGCCAACACAGCACTCTACCAAGGGTGACATAGTGAGACTCTGTCTCAAAAAAGGAAAAAAAAGTTCCACATAAAAGTTACAATGTAAATTTTTCCATGTTTCCTTACTTAACATGGAGAGTATCATAATTGCTATTAATAGTGATATCCATAGGCAGTTAAGGAGTATAACGTTATTTTTTGCTGTAAATGCATCATTGCAATGTTTTACAGTTCTTTATCTTTTTTGCCACTACGTCTATACAGATTGAAATTGTGAAGTTCCTCCTTAAAGTAGTACCTCACAATTCTAATGACTAATTAAACTTGGTAATGACTTAACCATATTAAATCTAAGCCTCTGGGTAAGGACCCAAAATTGATAAAAACAAAAGTTTTTATGAGCTCCATGAGTTTAATGAAGACCTTTTTAAATTGTTTAGTTCATGTTGTTGAAAATGTGAACTATAAAGGAGCAAGGGCTTATTCTTCCTAGGAATGTTACCAGATTCAGTTTTTAATAAAAATATTATATGCATCTTTAAATTTTTATCATTTTTTCCACAGGGCATGGACAGTGGGTTTGCAGGTGGCGAAGATGAAATTTACAATGTTTATGATCAAGCATGGAGAGGTGGTAAAGATATGGCCCAGAGTATTTATAGGCCCAGTAAAAATCTGGACAAGGATATGTATGGTGATGACCTAGAAGCCAAACTAAAGACCAACAGGTACCAAGTCAGGCAACTCAAATCACTTTTCAGGGTTTACACCAGTGAAAACAGTATTTCATAGTCCTTTCTCTTTTTCCCTAGATTTGTACCGGACAAGGAGTTTTCTGGTTCAGACCGTAGGCAGAGAGGCAGAGAAGGACCAGTTCAGTTTGAGGAAGATCCTTTCGGCTTGGACAAGTTTTTAGAAGAAGCTAAACAGCATGGTGGCTCTAAAAGACCCTCAGATAGCAGCCGCCCCAAGGAACATGAGCATGAAGGCAAGAAAAGGAGGAAGGAGTAGGAACATGTCTCTTCAGAGTGAATGAACTATTATCCAAAACCCTAATGATGCAATTTGTTAGGGGAACATTTTGTAAATGGTCAGGATAAAAACCAAATCTGGGTGCCAGATCCCAGCAGTACTTTTTATTATGGGAGAAAGGGGGAAATAGAAAAATCTACTTTGAATTAGTTTTTCTAAAGAGTGGTTGGTTTGTGCTTCTCCTACCTTTCGGCATTTATAGAACATATTGCCCCACATACAAAGTTAAGACCACTTCCTTTTGTGTGACATCAGTAGTATGGGGCTAATATTTTGTGTACAAACAACTGCTTATGAATAAAGTTACCGCAACCATGATGAGTAGAAGGACATTCACATGTTGGAACTGTTCTGCCAAATGACTTTTCCCCCCTATTGTGCTGTTTTAATTTCAAGTGGGGAAAGTAAGCTCTTGCTTGGTACAACTGTTGTTTCAAATAAAACCATTTAGACGTAATTCTCAGTTAACTTTATTTACAAGTATAATAATAGTCTTAATCTTTCTCTTCATCTGATGTTTGGTACTCTGGCAAAACTTTTGATCTTGGAGCTTCAACCTGGAGCTGAAAAAAAGTCAAATAAGCATTGTAAGGGAAAAGCAATGTAAGCAAAAACTTTAAAAATTACCATTCTGCCTCAGCGCCTGTGGCTCAAGTGGCTAAGGCGCCAGCCACATACACCCAAGGTGGTGGGTTCGAATCCAGCCCAGGCCTGCCAAACAACAATGACAGCTGCAACCAAAAAATAGCTGGGTGCTGTGGCAGGCACCTGTGGTCCCAGCTACTTGGGAGGCAGAGGCAGGAGACTCGCTTGAGCCCAGGAATTAGAGGTTGCTGTGAGCTGTGATGCAATGGCACTCTACCCAGGGGGATAGCTTGAGGTTCTGTCTTCTAAGATTGATTTTTTTTTCCAGTTTTTGGCCAGGCCAGTTTGAACCCACCATCTCTGGTATATGGGGCCGGCACCCTTCTCCTTTGAGCCACAGGCACTGCCCAAGATTGCCTTTTTATTACACAGTCAGTACCAGAAATTCAAGCAGTTGCTGTGTTCCTTGTTCTTAGCACTCCCTAAACTCCTATTAAAAGTTATGTCGGCTCGACACCTGTGGCTCAAGCGGCTAAGGCGCCAGCCACATACACCTAAGGTGGTGGGTTCGAATCCAGCCCAGGCCTGCCAAACAACAATGACAGCTGCAACCAAAAAATAGCTGGGCGTTGTGGTGGGCGCCTGTGGTCCCAGCTACTTGGGAGGCTGAGACAGGAGACTCGCTTGAGCCCAGGAGTTGGAGGTTGCTGTGAGCAGCAAAGCCATGGCACTCTACCCAGGGGGACAGCTTGAGGCTCTGTCTCAAAAAAAAAAAAAAAAAAGTTACGTCAATTTGACCCAAGATCACTTAGTAAGTGGGAAAGCCAGGATTTTTTTACCAATTTGCCTGACTTGAAAGCAGACTGCTGTTTCCTCTGTTCTGTGTTACATTACCTTGCTACCCATTAAATGGTCCTTATGTACTTCCTTCTCCAGACCTTAGAAAACTGGACACTATCTCCACCACGCTATAACAATCTTAGGCAGTTTCAGTTGGTTATAAAAGCTTTTAAGGGTCCCTGCCATTCCATACTTCTGACCTATGTGATATACAGAAAGCTCATTGTCGTATAATACAGAAACATTTACCTTTACTCCATCAATGATATGATTTTCCTGTTGTAGTGCATTCTGCAGTTCTTCCTCTGTAGAAAATTGAACCAAACCCAAACCTCTATGAAAGCCCGTCTCTTTGTCCTAAGAATTTTAAATATAGGAAGGTTAGTCATGATCTCCTAAAAGTTCCCACGAGCTCCAATCAAACTACCAACTTTTTCATCTGCAAAATCAGCTGATTGACATTAACAAATGCCAATAACCTTGATTTAGTACATGTTTACCCCTCTGAGATGCTCAAAGCTAAATCCCTGTTAAACTTAACTCTCCATCTGCTTTTCTGCCATTAGAGAAGATAAGGCAATGACTTTCTGTTATTCTAGCTACAAACCACACAAGCAGTAGTAACCCAGGGAAATTTTGATTACTATTCTTACTTCTAACCTCGTTGCTATAAACTAGAAAATAAAGCCTTAAAACCTACCATATTAGGGTAGCGCCTGTGGCTCAAAGGAGTAAGGCACCAGCCCTGTATGCCGGAGGTGGTGGGTTCAAACCCAGCCCCGGCAAAAAACTGCAAAAAAAAGAAAAAAACCTACCATATTATATGCTTATTTCTGAGACTTCTCATCACTGCCACTATCATCATCACATGTTCCTCATTTTAAAAACTGGAAAGAACTATCTTTAATCTAGTTCCAAACTTCTGGTTGCTTTAAATAATTTTGCTACTTTCCCTTGTACAAAAGGCAGAGTGCTTCTCATTCAACCTATCCATCACAAATGGAAAAGAGCTTCTAGTATATGAATGTACTCTACCCCTCCCGGCCTGCAATAAAGGGCAGATGCCGTGATATTCAGTGTAGATGACCATTTCTCATTAGTCTCATTACTAAGTTATGCTGTGCAAAACCCCCAATGTTTAGAAACTAACTTTATGAGGATTAACATAGAATGCAGGAAGTTTCTAGGAGATATCTCAATGATCCATTCCCTTACCTCTTATAGATGACAATTTCTTTTTTTTTTTTTTTTTTTTTGAGACAGAGCCTCAAGCTGTCCCCCTGGGTAGAGTGCCGTGGCATTACAGCTCACAGCAACCTCCAAC